CTCTGAACCCAAAGCTTCATGCATTCCAAGCAACATAGCCTAACGTGCATCTAGGGTTTCATGCATTTTAAGCGACATACTCTGAACCCAATGCTTCATGCATTCCAAGCAACATAGCCTAAACATGCATCTAGGGTTTCATACGTTTTAAGCGACATACTCTGATCCCAAAGCTTCATGCATTCCAAGCAACATAGTCTAAACGTGCATTTAGGGTTTCATCCGTTTTAAGCGACATACTCTGATCCCAAAGCTTCATGCATTCCAAGCAACATAGTCTAAACGTGCATCTAGGGTTTTATCCGTTTTAAGCGAAATACTCTGATCCCAAAGCTTCATGCATTCCGTGCAACATAGTCTAAACGTGCATCTAGGGTTTCGTGCATTTTAAGCGACATACTCTGAACCCAAAGCTTCATGCATTCCAAGCAACATAGTCTAAACGTGCATCTAGGGTTTCATGCGTTTTAAGCGACATACTCTGATCCCAAAGCTTCATGCATTCCAAGCAACATAGTCTAAACTTGCATCTAGGGTTTCATGTCTTCCCTGTGATATAGTCTAAAACCTATACCTAAGGCTTTTTAAATTTCAAGCAGTGTACTCTGAAACCTACATTAAAAGCTTTTTACATTCCAAGTAACACATCTTGAAAACATATGTTCAAGGCTTAGTCTGAATACCTATGTCTAGACTTTATATATTCCAAATGACGTAGTCTGAAACCTACATCGAATCTAGCACTAAGACATTTGAAGAATTACTTACCTTATTAGCCATCTAAAATCAAATTTATCTCAATTTAATTTTAAATTTGTCTCGACTTAAGTTCTCAAGTCAGACATGATTAATTTTCAACATTAAGAATAGGAAAAACTAATTTTGAATGAAACTTAGACCTTAACCAACATCGTCCTTTAATAGAACTTGTATGAGTTTGAGCTTAGCGTAAAAAATATTTTACTATAAGCACTATCACGTACTTATTCCCACACGATTGGATGTGTATTTACTGTTCTACACATGGCCCGCACGTACAAGTATGGACCCATCAGTTGGTTCGCACACCTCCTGAGACCCTTTCTTGATCTGGCTAGCATTCTCTGGAGCTGTTGTTGAACACTTGATAGGTACAGTGACTGTCGCAGCATTATGATAAATATAATGATAATTTTCATGCCTCGTAATGTACAAATTTGTACCATCATAAAAAGAGGGTATCTTCTGATGCATGAACACACAATAATGCATGAGGTCCTAACGTTTTTCTCTCATTATCACGCAACACAACCCCATTACGCTTTCTTTCATATCATATCATTTTTATCCTTACTTTCTATGCATATATCGGGGTTGTGCATCATGCCGAAGCATCATATTGCATGTCAATCATATCATATATCCTATCATGTCAAACATGTATCATATGATAAACATATTGTGTCTTCCAACATATCGTACCATACTATGCACATATCATCTCTCATATATCATGTCACAACATGTGTCGTATCGTCAACATATTACATCATAACATATACCATTCACATATCCTATAACGAACATGTCGTCAAACATATCATATTATAACATATATCATAGCATTTACATATCATATCGCAAATATATCATTCCATTGAACATATCATTTTCACATAAAATAAGTGTATGACACGTGCAAAGCCACAGGGCACGTGTCATCATACAACGTACAAATTCTAACTGAACCGATAGTAAGACCACTTACTTAGTTGGTCTTAGCTAGTGTTCTCCCTAATTTCGAGTACGTTTGAGTTTCGTCCCTCGAAGTTGCTCCAAGTATTGTCAGAAGTTATTTCCTATTAGAGCGTCCATCTCGTTTCGTTAATAACTCAAATTACTTAGCTCAAATTAATTTAAATTGAGAAATTTGGCCTTATATTGATCGTAATTTCCTTAAACAAGGTCAATTTCAGCTTCATGATGGTTGGAAAGGTAGAATTTGATGAAATTTCCTTTACCGAGCCGAGAAGCTGTGATCTAAGCCAAGAAGTCGAGTTTAGCCGAGCTAAATTAAAGTCGACTGAGCCGAAGGGATCGTTGGTTGCAGGTGCGACATGTGAAACAAGGAGAAGACGACGCGTGTGCAGGTCGCAACCGAGTCGAGGCGCAAGTCGTCAGATCAACTGCTGCAGGCACGCGGGCCGCAAGTCTAGGTTGAGCTTACTAAAGAAGAAATTGCACCAAAAA